AAACGCTGTAATTCTGACGCACAGAAAGGGCTGGGCCAATGGGCTGGATAATATCAACTTAGAAGGATGTTGTCCAATCACAACATGATACGTTTTCCATGAGCTAATGTTTGGATCAGTCAAATACAGATTATGTCCTTTGCCAGACGACATGAGCTCAAATAGATGCATCTAAATCTGCAAAATATCTTCATACTTGCCCTTGATTGGTGGGGAATCTGAAAACTGTGTCTAAAGGACAGTAATATTTCACCCCAAAATGAAAATTTGTTGCTGTTTTGGATGCAGCTACAAGTAAATCCTAAGATTTTAAGCCTAAACACACACACACACACACACACACACACACACACACACAAGAGCATCATAAAGTATCATAGAAGTGGTCAAAATGTACTATATTCCAAGTCTTCTGAAGCCATAACATATCTTTGTGTGAGAACCAAGCCAAAATTAAGATAATTATTAACTGAAAATCTTCCCTTTCAGTGAGCTGTTAGTCTGATTACCACTACCATGCACAACTGAATTACCTCAGATCATTCCGATTTACGAATGAATCGGAATTAATCAGTATGACTGATGTTGTGCTCTGACTCAATTCATTCACAAAACGAAGAGCACTTCTTGTACCCTCTTAAAGGAGAGATAGACCAGATATCAAGATTTTCAGTGAATAACAGGTTAAAATCAGCATGAAACAGAAGTTGTGATCATCTTTTCTATTGTGATGTATATCTGAGTGAAATGGCTTCTCAAATGAGAAAAAATATAGTGTGGGAATTGATCGTTGTTAAAAGTAGGGTGGGAATTTGTCCAAGTTTGATTGGATTGTTTCTGTTTGCTATTACTGCAATCTAATCACTATGATGTGAGTGATGGGAAGGGTTAATATCGTTAACTAAAACTAAAACTAGAACTATTAAAAAAATTATTACTTGACAAAAAATAAACGAACTAAAAAATAAAATATTAAAATAGTCCATTTTGAATAGTCAATTTTGATTTCATGGTGACTAAATTTTGTCACCTATTCTATGGCTTCAGGAATATATTAGTACATAGGTTGTACAGATCACTTTTATATTGGTTTTATGGTGCTTTTGACTCCAATTTAAAGCTTGAAAGCCTCGGTAATATCTGTATTTCTAGTCACCTCTAGTCAGGATGCGTTTTGTCAGAAATGACATCTTTAAGGACTGGATACGTGTCCCTATACGTGTGTTTGGAAAGTTCTGAACTTTTCTGCAGCGTCCATGTCAGAGTATTTTGAAATATTAAAATCAACTCTGAGACTCTTAGCATGATGCATCCATCAGGATGTGATCTGAAGGATAGTAAATTGTTCCCAGCATTCAAAGTGAGCATTGCATTTAAGGACAAAAACAGCAAAGTGAAGCACATGAAAGTCCCTGTTAAAGGAGCTACATTAAGAGAAGGAAAGGCTTGAAGGGAAAACAATCTGATATGTGGGGTTGCGGAGTGGAAGACTTATACTGATATTTCTACAATTTGGCGACGTATGGAGATCTGATCTGTGGTAATGCATTTTCTATTAGGTTAGGGCATCATTTGGCCTCCACCTGCTCTGTTTTCAGAGGAAATTCTCCCCTTGAATTGATTCTATAAGAGGGGTGTAGGAGTGTTTTAGCATCCAGAGCTCTGCAGCTTTGTCTGTTTAGATGAGCTTTTTAACAGCTCCGGTCAACAGTGTTCCTCTCCATAACATGGAGCTCTGTTCACTTCTGAGAGTTTTTTCTTGTGGTCCCTGACAGATGATGCAGAAACACTCTTCTTTTCTCAGCTGTACTGATGATATCAGTTGCTGGCGAGTTTCTTTTGCTTTCCAGCCAGTGTTGGTCTGCTATCAAACATCTTCAGCTGCCCACATATCTTCCCATCATGCTCACTACCACTGTTGTTGCACAGCACACAGCATAGTGTTAATGTTTTTACACACATAAAGCTTAAATATTGGATGTTGTATATAAGTAAATTAGAAAAATAAATTAATAAATACATACACACACACACTGTACAGTACATAAATAAATATATTTATTATTGTTATTATTATTATTATTTATTTATTTATTTATTTATTTTTTAGTACTGCAATTTTCAAACCACCTGGGTACCACAGTGTTATTGGTTAGCACTTTTTCTGTCAGCAACTTTTTTTGACTCCCCATTGTCAAACACAATATTTGAAGGGCCTTCAAGGTGTTTCTGGTAGTGCTGCTGTAATGAGAGAGCTGCTTTTTCAGCGGTTTTATTTACAGAAATTAAAGAAGGTATCTTGTATCTTATATATTATAGATATATTTTATGTGCAATTTTTCATATATATAATTATATATAACTTTATAATTAAAATAATAATGATAATAAATCCATGAATCCATGATTCTAGACTGAATGTTCTTTAGGATTTACACTAATTTAAATGACTTTTCTAGTCGGTTGCGATTTACTTTTTTTCATGAATAGCAATTTCGATCTAATATTTTTAGAGCTTTAAAAATATAATTATTATAGTTATCATAAAAAATATAATTATAAAATATTATAAATGTTACAGTTTTTCTCGATTGCTTAAACACATTTCTTGAAACTATGCCTCGTATTCTCAAAACAGTAAACACAAATCCATAACGTCTCACCCAATTCCCCAAACATCCTATTTTCAGGTCAAAATGAAGCTCTACACTCAAAACCATTCACTCTTGCTGAAAAACCAAACTTTTCCCTCAGACATCACACACAAGCTTTCAAAAACACACACACTACAACATAGTATTACACACTGGTGCAATAAATTCAAAACAATATATCCAAACAAAAAAGTATGTTGCTTGTGGTTCTCCCCCTCAAAAACCTTTTCACATGAACACAAAAGACACAACCAATGTATACATTGGCACATTTTTATTCATTCATGTACTAAACAGCACAACTGTAAAAAAAAACAAAAAAACTGAAAAATGGCGTTATGGTTTTGAAATTTTAGTTCAAAAGCCTGGTTATAGTGTTTTAGCAATCGAGAAAAACTGTAATATATATAAATATATTTATAAAATATAAAATTAAATATAAAAAATGACTTAAAGCTTTGATTAATTTACACTACTTTTTGAGGTCTAAAAATCATACTTTTAAAATAGCCTCATACAGTATATCCAGGTTTTCACTGGTTCATAATTAAAAAAGATGTGCTTTGTCTTATTTTAAATCATCTGGAGGCTCCCTTTAGTAGTGAGCTGAGGCCCTCTTGTGGGCCCTGGCCCTGTGGTTAAGAACCCATGGTCTATCTATGTGCATGTGTCTCTTTGCTGGTATGATGAAATGCTTTTACATTCTTTATACATCTTTGCTTTACTCTCAGAAAACAAGTACAAATCAGTCACTGGGCTGGTATTTTAAGAAACAATTCTGTGTTTTTCTGTCAATATGGGGTGCTGTGTGTACATTAATGAGGAAAAAAAATTAACTTAAATGATTTTAGCAAATGGCTGCAATATAACAAAGAGTGAAAAATTTAAGGGGGTCTGAATACTTTCCGTACCCACTGTATGTATGTGTGTAATAAAGATCGCATAACCTCAGTTAAGAATTCATCAGACTGATTCAAACTGAACTAGAACCAGCAAATATGAGTAATTTGTTAGTGAATCTGACTACTGGTTGTGTTTATGTTTGTTTTTATGTGCACCTCATGAGGATGACTAAATTGAAAGAAGTCTCTGCTTGTCATGGTTTTTCAGTACACACAAATGATACGTGGGAACACAGTGGTAAAGGAAAATTAATTAGAGCGACTACAGCATGTATCAATCAATGCAGTGTTTCTCATATCTCAGTTCTGTGGGGGAGTTTTTAGTCTTTCCCTTTCCTTACAAAATGTACAATGGTAGTATAATGGTAATACATTGGCTTTTAGGTGGTAGTACTTTTGCTAAGCAGTATTTGCTAACCATTATCTAAAAAAATCTAAAAAAATATCACATACAAAAAACAAAAGTGTACCATATCACGTTTTTGTGCTTGTTTTTAGTGTTGTAACAGTGCTCGTTTGAATACTGAATATATTTGACTGTGAAGATTTACCTGACACGTCTAATCCAAATATTTGAAATATTTATTAGAGCTATTTTCTGTTTTATTTAGACTTTCCCACATTTAAAGCTTTTGTTTGTACAACAGACTTCTATTAAATGTCATTTTATGTATTTTCAAGAAACATAGAAGTTGAATGTTGAGTGAAAGGCGCTGGCTCCCTCTACTGGTGTGAAATTCTTTACAATGTCTTAAAGGGTTAGTTCACCCAAAAATGAAAATTCTGTCATTAATTACTCACCCTCATGTTGTTCCACACCCCTAAGACCTTCGTTCATCTTCAGAACACAAATTAAGATATTTTTGATCAAATCCGATGACTCAGAGAGGCCCCATTGACAGCAACGCCACCCAAACTCTCAAGATCCATAAAGGTACTAAAGACGTTGTTAAAACAGTCGACGTGACTACAGTGATTCTACAAGAATTTTATGAAGCGACGAGAATAATTTTTGTGCGCATAAACAAAACAAATATGACTTTATTCAACAACCTCTTCTTCTGTGTCATTCTCATACGTTGTTTACGTCCAGCGCTTCCAGGTTCTATGTCAGAACGCCGGTTCATTATTGAACGACTTCTGCATCAGCATCACACGCATGCGTCGCGCTGCTCACATGTGTGAGTAATTAATGACAGAATTTTCATTTTTGGGTGAACTAACCCTTTAATTGGTCTTATTCATTAAAATTCTTTAGTCCACTGAAAGCAATTCCCATTTTTACCCTCGTTTCTCTTTCTTTCTCACTTGGTTTTATTTTATTGTATTTATACAACTCTTGTTTAACTGGTAGAACATGTACAATGCAGCCGTCAAAATAGCCTTAGCTGCTGACATGGCATTACATTTTTTACTACCTACCTACCTCTCTTTCTCACTCCAGGACAGTAAAGAGCCTCCGGACTGCAGACTAAGTGAATCTTTCACCTCTTCGGGTTGCACGCTGGGGGTGGACCTGCGGCAAGGTCGGCGCCGTTTCTCCGGTAACCTACAGTTGCCTCCTTTATCATGGAGGCAGACGGAGAGGTCCCGCAGTCCAGATGACGGGATCATGGCAAGACCAACTACACTGCCTTTCATTACACCCCCTCGCATTGACATCACACCTGTGGACACTGAGTGGTGAGTCTGTCAATCAGCTCCTTTCACTACTCCTCTACTTTCATTTCAGAAATCTAATATCTTAAAAATGATGATGTTAAGGAACTTTCTTCAATCTCAGTTTAAAATGCAGTGACAACTGTTAGTAAGCATTTTGTATGTTTTAGTTTATTTTTATTTTTTGTCTTGAAGAGTGTAAACACTATGGTTCTGTGGTTCATTAATAATATTGTTTGAGTTTTAACAAACCTGTTTGGAAAAAAACATCATTAATTTCGCAAATCTTTGTGCGTAGGTTATATAAGCTTTTATATTATATGAAAATAGGCTATATAATACACTTCCATTCAAAATTGTAGAAGTCTCTTATGCTCCCCAAAGCTGCATTTATTTGCATTATTACAATTGAAAATAACTGTTTTCTGTTTTAATATATTTTAAAATGAAATTTATTTCTGTGCTGGCAAAGCAGAATTTTCAGCAGCCATTACTCCAGTCCTCATGGTTGTTCATAAATCATTCTAATATACTGATTTGGTGCTCAAGAATTTTTTTTTCTTATTATCAATAATGAAAATATTTTTGCTGCTTAATTTTTTTGTGAAAATGGTGATCATTTTTTCCTGGATTCTTTGATTAAAAGAAAGTTCAAAAGAACAGCATTTATTTTAAATAAAAATCTTTTGTAACATTTTAAATCTTAATGACCCCAAACTGTTGAATGATAGTGAGTATTACTCATACAAAGCATTTTGGTTTATTTGGTCATGTCAGGTGCCCCCTCAAACAAACAAACCAACCAAAAAAGCCTTATATTAGCTGTAAAAGTGAGGTTGTTGTTTCATTAAAAACAATGCTGACAGTCTGCATAGGCCTTATATAAAACCTGTTGAAATACATGGGTAAAAAGTCTTCTTTTGTTTTGGTTGCTTTGGCAGTGTTACTTTTGCTTAAATTATTAATAACTTTCTAATATTAATTGAGAGGAATTGTGCTCATTCTTGTGGCATCTATCAATATCAAAAATTTAAAGTATGATGACTTATGCTTTACATTAATTTAAGTATATGTTGCCATCCAGTCACTGCATTGCTGATTATGGTTTCGAGTATGGATCGTTAACGTGCACATTGACAACTGGAAGTTTCAACAACCAAATTAGCCAGACGTTATGTGACATTAATTCTCTCAGATGTTAATCAACAGATGAAGAATAGGGCCAGTTTGGTGTCTCTGTGGGTGCAGAAACACTGGCAATTAATTAAGTTTTTATTTTTTTCTCTCTCTCTCTTTAATCAGTAAAACATAAATGACACGTTTATTTATTTTATTTGCATATGTGCATATTGTAGCTGTTCTGGTTTATGTGACTACATGTTGCATCGGTAGAAAGATGTTTCAGGAATAAAAATTCACTGCTAATTTGTAGCTGTTTCTGAAGTTGATTCTCATCACTCATGATTTGCATAATGTTCTTTAGTTATGTAGAAGTGTCTGCAAAGCTGGTAAATTAGTACACATATTATACATTTTTTAATTATTTGAAATCTCCTTAAAGGATTCGTTCACCCAAAAATGAAAATTCTGTCATCATTTACTCATCCTCGAGTTGTTCCAAACCTGTATGAGTTTCTTTCTTCTGTTGAGCAATGAGCACAAAATAAGATATTTTGAAGAATGTGGGTAACCACACATATGACGGTTGCCATTGACTTCCATATTATGAAAAAAAAAAAAATTCTATGGAAGTCAATGGCTACCACCAACTGTTGGGTCAACAACATTCTTCAAGATATCTTCTTTGTGTGTGTGTGTGTGTGTGTGTGTGTGTTCAGCAGAAGAAAGAAACTAATACAGGTTTTGAAGGTGAGCAAATAATGACAGAATTGAAATTTTTGGGTAAACTATTCCTTTAAATGTCTCGTTTGGTCTTTCTAATGTACTTGTATGTCTTAGCATCTTCAATATATGACATAGTACATATTACATATATATGGAAATCCCAAATTGCTGCATGATGAGAGATGAAATATATTAGTTTTGCTTCCAGCACTGGTGATTTAAGCTGCAGCTGCTCAGTCTCGTTGCCATGAGGAGAGGGAAAGCTGTCTGGTTGTGGTTGGCAATACAGCAACAGCTGGTTTGTAATCATCAATCAATCATTCATCCTTTAATTTGTCTGGTAAAAAGATGTGATTTGACTTGTAATTATTTGACTTGCAAAGATGTGAGTTGCAATTAGTGAGTTACAATAGCTTGATGGGCCCACAGCAAATGCACCGATAAGCCCAGAATACATTTGTGCTTGGATACTTATAATACTTGATAAGTGTAGCCATCAATTAGATTTTTAGTTTTATCTGCCTGAAAATAAACAGGTCTGATTTTCAATATTTCATCTTTAGAGCATATAAATTTGATGTGTTTGCCATTAGATTACATGTATTGAGTTGGTAGTTGTTGTCGTTGTTTGCCAGTGGAGGGCAGCATGGAGACTAAAATACATCATGGTTCCTACTCTGATGTTTCTGTGTGTGACACCTCTGGTTTAGTAAACCTCATGAGCATTCATCAGTTTGCCCCCTAAAAACACACCTGACCCACATTTGTCATTAAATGTATTAAAGTAGGCCATTTCATTGCTTGACTCTTTCAAATGGATGGCAAATTGAGATGAGATTTGGATGTTAGTCTCATTATGTTTATTTAAAGGAATAGTACACCAGAAACATAAGAGATCTAGGTGAATGTCACTGCCACTCTTTTCCATAAAATGAAAATGTATGAGGACTGTTAAGCACAAAGTGACAAAAAAATGTGTCATAAAAGTTAATCATACCACCCTATACCAGGTCTTCTAAGAGAAACAGACAAAGATTATATCAGTTTTCACTGAAATCTCATTGGAAAAGGCAGATTATCAGTGAAAATTGGCTTAAATTTCAGTCTATTTGTCACAAAAGCTGTAGTATGACTTCATTCCAGTTAGAATAATGCACTGTAAAAAATCCCTGTAAATTTACAGCGTATTTACAGCGTAAATTTACAGTACTGAACTGTTTTCTAAAATGACGGTGTCTTACCGTAAATGCACACGTGATCGGTGGGGGAGGGGAACCAAAGGCTAGCTTGGTACAAGTGATTGACGCCGACGCACCGAGGAGCATCGGGTACATACAAGTGATTGACGCCGACGAACCGAGGAGCATCGGGTTCAGTGAAAGTTTTATATGCATGGATTTCATCTCAAGTTGAAGCTCATTTACAGGTAAGCAGATCAGAGTCTGAAATAAGTTTATTTGATATATTTATTTTTTATGTGGGCACAATCTTTTAATTTGCCTTTGACAGATTGTTGCCAACCCTGCGGTTTAAGACGGTGAATTAACGTTAAGTTAAGTGTGTGTGTGCGTGTGTGTAAGAAAGAGAGAGAGCGATTCTTGCAGCTAATTGCATGTTTTGTTGTTTCCTGGTGTAAAATCCTGTAAATGTTAACCTTATATAGAGGAAAATATAAAATACTTGCGTTCGGTGGGGGAGGGGAGCAACGGTTAGCTTTTGATACCAGTGAGAGAAGCGTCGGTCTCAGTGGATATATAGCCTAAATGGATTTTATCTCAAATTGAAGCTCGATTACAGATAACAGGGATCTGAAGTAAGTGTGTTTGCTTGATTATCTGAAACAATTATTTGCACAATCTTTATATTTGCGTTTTGCATTGGCGCCAACCCAGTGTGGTTTAAAATGGAGGATTTGCTTAATTTGCATTCTTGTTCCTAAGTTAGGCGTGTGTAAAGTTGGCATATATTAACCTTATATATAGGGAAATCGAAAATAGGCGTGTAAACTTAATTTTACTAAGGAAGCATATAAACTTGCCGCCTTTTGCATGAGCACTTGACTTGATCCTCCTGGAAACCCTCCTGCCAGTTTATTACCTTTAATTTACAAAAAAGCCGTAATTCAGAATACCGTAATAAAACTGTAAAATTACGGTACACTCCTGGAAACCCTGCTGCCAGTATATTACCGTTAATTTACAGGGAAATTTTTTACAGTGTGGATATAGAATATGTGCATAAATAAAAAAGGTACAAGGCTACTTATACTTTATTTTGGAGCTTAACAGCCCAGTCATCCTTCATTTCCATTATATGGTAAAGAGTGGCTAGAATGATTCTGGCCACCACATTTTGCGTTTCAAAATAAGTTGAGTTTATAACAACATGAGGTTGAGTAAATAATGAAATAATTACAGAATTTTCATTACTATAAATATACTGGTTCCTTTTTCACTTCTACACAGGTTCATATACGTACTGTACATTACAAATATATATACACACACACACACACACACATATATATATATATATATATATATACTGTACATATACATATATATCATTATTTGCCATATCTGTGTGTACATATATATATATATATATATATATATATATATATATATAGCATTCATTGTTTGCCCTGCTATCTCACACTCTTGCATTTCTGCTCTTGTTGAGCTGTCCGTTTGATGTGTGTGTCAGGAGAATCAGGAGACGAGGTTTAGGGAAAGCACTATATTTGGAGCACAATTATTTTCCTGCTGATGTGACTCTGTTGCAGATTGATTTGAGAGCTCCCAGGTGGCTTGTGGGATAGCTTTATGGGCCAGGCATAAGCAATGATGCTGGAGGACAGACACTACAGGGCATTGAGCTGTCTGCCAAACGAATTCATCAGTGACTTTACCCACTTTCTTGGAACTGAGCACTCAATTGTGTGTGTGTGTGTGTGTGATCGTGAGAGAGAAAGAGAAATTTCTGACATCAAGTCACGCAGACAGTGTGAGGCAGATTCATTCAGAAGTGCCATTGCACAAGACCCCAGGGCAAGAGACCTCCTCACGCTCTTGTGTCCGGGTCAGATCGAGGTCTATTTAGTCACTTCCTGTAGGATGAATGGCTGTATGATGTAAGAACACGTCTGTCTCTGTGACTTTTAGTCATCATCATCTCTT